CTAATTTTTGAAGACGAAGCAGTGTTTGACATGGTGGACCTCGCTATCGAGGGTGTGCCAGATGGACAAGCAATTGAAGTAACCGGTTTCACAAACGACACTACTCGTCCACACCTGGAAGAGTTTAGTCTGATTGATATAACACCTGGCACCGTCATGCTGTCCTTCTCTGAGACTGTTAATGCTTCATCACTGAACTTTGCTGAGGTCGTGCTTCAAACCTTGTACATCAGAGACTTCCTAGCAATGGTCCAACTTACAGGTGGCTCTACCAACGATTCTGACTCAGACATCATAGAGTTTACCTTTGAAACTGCCGATCTATACCGAATTCAAGCCAATGAACACTTGTGCACACATCAAGGAAATTGCTACATTTCATTCTCACAAGAGTTTGTAACTGATATGGCTGGCAATCCAGTTGCAGAAATCACTGACGATGCTCCAGGTTATGTTGCCATGGACTTCAATCACGACCGAATCCCACCTGAGCTCATAGAATTCTCACTGAATTTGGAGAACGGAACTCTGCTTTTGACATTCAATGAGTCTGTGCGAGCATCATCCCTGGATGTCACTGGAATTACTATCCAAGCCAGTGAAAATACCACTGACCCAGCTCTCTATTACACACTCAGAGACAGTTCAACTACCAGCAGTGATGGACCAATCATTGAGATTGTGTTGAGTGAAGTGGACAGTAATGGAATCAAGGGTTCTCTATTTGCAAACACAGAGAACGATACCTATCTTTCACTCTCACCTCACGCCATAACTGACACTGCATTTGATCCAAACCCTGTAGTTGAAATACCAAGGGACATGGCTCTTCAGGTGACCCAAAATGGACTGGCTGTTGACGAGTCACGGCCTGACCTGTTGGAATACACACTCGACATGACCAGCTGATCTTCTGATACTCACGTTCAATGAACCAATCCAGTATGCCTCCATCAACTGCTCTGAAGTAACTCTGTACAACACAAGCACTGGGATGGAAGCAACTCTGACTCTCAGTGGGTGCACTGTATTCCAGGAGCCGAACACAACTGGAGCACACATCATCACTCTTCAGCTATCCGGAGAAGACATTACAGCTCTGAAGAGCAATGTGTACTTTGCAACACCTGTAGGTGGTTCCAGGGTGTATGCCTCGGAGAACACCTTCCTGTTCTTCACTTCGAGGGCATTCTATGACACCAATTCAAATCCAGTAAATGAATTACCAGAGCCAAGACCCGTCGATACATTCATACCTGACTTCACCCGACCAGAGCTGTTGTCATTCACATATGACCAGCACTTGGGTCACATCAATCTCACGTTCAATGATGTGGTTGATGCGGCTACGTTTGATGCTAGAGCCATTACTCTCCAACACAGTGTAAACCGAGCTCCACAGAGAACATTCACGCCTTCAAGTGCCACAAAAACCTCCAGCGGTGATGGATATCTGATTGTGGTCGAGCTGGATCATTTTGATCTCTTGGCATTGAAATCAAACACAGGACTTGCAAGAAATGAGAACGACACCTATCTCACTATTGCTGCATTTTTGATTGATGACAGAAATGGATTCGATGTTGCACCCATCACAGACGGGAAGGCCATCGCTGTTGATGTGTTTATTCCCGATCTTGTCCCACCAACTCTGGAGAACTACACCATGGACATGGACGTGGGTCAAATCCTACTGTCATTCTCTGACACTGTAAACCTTACCACCTTTGATCCAACTGGCATTGTAATCCAAGCATTTGAGAATGCAACTGAGGAGAGTGTGGACAATGTTCTACGACTGAGTGGCGGAGAGACACAGAGATCAGAGGATGGGCTCATTATCACTGTACACCTTGTGGCAGATGACCTCAATGAACTCAAACGAAACACCAATCTCTCAACTGGTTTTGGTGATACATACTTGGCCATTGATGAGGCATCTGTTTCTGATTTGGCTGGAAATCCTGTTGTGGGCATCAATGATACACAAGCTGTCCAGCCTGCCATGTTCCATCCCGACAACTCCACCCCCTTCCTCCTCTCATTCAATCTTGACATGAACTCTGGAATCCTATTCCTTACATTTGATGAGACAGTTGATGCGCAGACACTCAACGTGTTGCAGATCACACTACAGAATGCCAGGTCGATGTCATCACAGAATTACACCCTTGGACCAGCCAGCAGCTCATCTCAAAACGATAGTGTCACCATTGAGATATACCTGTCAGCAGAGGATGTGAATGAAATAAACAGAAGAAGATATCTTGCCAGTGATGAGTCCAACACCTATTTGACTGCTACGAAACTGGCTGTTCAAGACATGAATCGAAACACTCTGTATCCAATCTCCACGGATGAGGGTATCAGAGTTAATAACTTCACACGAGATGAAATATCTCCACAGCTGCTGCATTATGACCTGGATATGGATGAAGGGTTACTTACCCTCTACTTTTCTGAAGTAGTTGACTATGCCAGTTTTGATCCATCTACCATGACCCTTTATGCATCAAATGACACATCCTTGTCTACAACCAACTATACTCTAGTAGCAGGAGAAGTGCTTTCTTCAGATGACACAGAAATCTATTTTTATCTTGACATAACAGACCTGAATGAAATCAAGAGGCTCTCAGCACTGGCCGTTGATAACGAGACGACTTTCCTGTCATTCCTATCCACTTTGGTAGTTGATACATTTGACAACAATGTAACAGAAGACACTCTAAGGCCAGTAAGAGACTACATACAAGACACAACACCTCCAGAGTTGGATGAGTTTGTACTGGACTTGGACGAAGGAGAACTAAGTCTCACTTTCAATGAGACTGTCAATGCATCATCTCTGAATATTGAAGCGATAACTGTTGTAAGTGGCACACACCCCATGGCAGAGAACTACAGACTGAGATTCAGCTCCTTCTCTCTCCGTGACAACACCTCGGTGGTGGTCTACCTGGCACAGGAGGACCTCGACCAAATCAAACTGAACCGACATCTGGCTACGAATGAAAACAACACATTCCTGAGCTTGTCTGACAGCCTTGTGCGAGACATGAGTGGGAGTCTCTTCATAGAGAGTGTGCACTCCGGTGAACTCATAGACGACCAACGAGAACCTGAGCTGATCGAGTTTGCATTTGATCTCAATCGTGGGATCGTCACTCTCAACTTCTCAGAGGCTGTGAATACTTCAAGTCTGAATGTCAACTCCCTGGTATTTTATGGCTCTAATACTACTGTTAACACCTCCAGCTATAGACTTATGCCACCGACTGGAACTTATGCCGACAACAGTAAGGTGTTTACTGTCATCCTCTCTGATGATGATCTCAATGCTATCAAGGCAGACTATGAACTTGCAAGTGACAGCGAAAACACATACCTTGCAGTCGAATCTGATGCCATTGAGGATATGAACGGAAATTCGGTTACATCGACTCCAGTACCAGTGATGGCTGCAGACTTTGATCCAGATGTCAGCTCTCCTAACCTAACAAATGCCACCTTTGACTTCAATGGTGGAGTGTTGACCCTGACATTCTCAGAGACTATCAACATCGGTACTTTCCAGTCAGTTGAAGTGACACTGCAGAATGACTTTAATGAACCTCCCAGCTCACTACCACTGAGTGGTGGAACTGTCTCTGAAGATAACTCCACTACTGTCATAGTTTATCTACTTGAGAATGATCTTAACCTTCTCAAGAGCTACTCAGAACTTTTCACAACTATCTATCAAGCATGGGTGTCCGTGTCTAACATGACGGTCGAAGACATGAGCGGGAATTCAATCAATGAAGATACCATCCGGGTTTCCCACATCATTCAAGACGATGAAAGGCCAGAAGTCGGTAGTTTTGAGCTCGATCTGGACAAGGGAACACTCACCATCACTTTTTCAGAGACCATCGATCCAGACTCCCTGTCCATTGACAATTTGTGGATCCAAAACACGGAGTTGAATGCTACAGATGAACATCAGCTCTCTGGTACCGGGAGTGTGGCCGTCTGGAATATCACAATTGTGACCATCACCCTGTCTGACTCTGATCTTGACAGCATCAAACTCCTGGAGGCTCTTGCAGTCGACAACGAAACAACGTACCTGAGATTCAACAACAACACAGCCACAGACACGGCACTGACACCAAACAGTCTGGCATCACTCAATGCAACCCAGGGCATTCAGGTGGCCCTGTTTACACCAGATCAGACGCCACCCAGAGTTGGTTAGCTTCGACCTCGACATGGACTCCCCAGAGATGTTGGTTCTTACATTCTCGGAGCCCTGTACGAGCAGATTCAGTCTTTTTCCCTGCTGTCACTCTGCAGGCCGTGATGAACATCACAAACACCTCTGCCGAGCAGTACACTCTATCCGACGGGAACGTGACCAGTGAGAATGGGCCGTGAGATCTGTATTCTCCTTGCATTTGAGGACATTGTGAGAATCCAAGCTCATCGCAGTCTCTCACATGTCGAGACTCCAGTAAGTACATACATATCACTTGAGACTGGAGCAATTCTGGATATGAACAACGTCTCTTCAGTCAATATCTCTGAAGAAGAAGGAAAACCGGTAAATCAGTTCACTTCTGATGAGACAGAACCTGCTCTCGACCAATTCTCAGTTGACCTGAACACCGGTGTTCTCACACTAACATTTACTGAGACGGTTGACACTGCAAGTGTTGGTGCTGCCACACTTGTACTGCGTGGGAGTACAACAGCCGAACCTATACAGTTTGACAATGAATTGAATGCCACATCAAGCAACACTGAGTTTACTGACTGGTACATCATAGACATCAACTTTTCCTTTCATCAACTGAATGAGATCAAGCTGGCTGCAGCAATGGCTGATTTCTATACCCAAAACACCTCCTCTTACATCAGCTTCCCGACAACGCCAGTACCCGAGGACACTGTGGGCAATGTGATAGATTTTATCGGCCTCTTTCTAGGACAGCAGGTTTCAAATTACACTGCAGACACCACGCAACCCATCCTGATTGACTTTACATTCGATGCATCAGGCCCTCAAGGTGTAATAGTTATGAACTTTTCAGAGCCAGTACTTGCTGATTCACTGATGCCTATATTCATCGAGTTCCACAATTCACCACACAATGAAACATCAACAGAGATTGTTAGGCTCACTGGACAGACACCAGATACAAACACTAACGGGCTGAGTCTGCAACTCACACTTGCTCATGACGATTTCAACAGATTGAAGACTCTGACAAATATTGCTACATCTTACAATGATACGTACCTCTTCCTATTACCTGGAGCTGTGACAGACGTGTTTCGTAATGAAGTATCACAAGAAGGGGGCCGTACTATACCAGCCAGTGATATCCAGTTTGACAGCACACATCCAGAGCTAGAAAGCTTCATTTTCGATCTAAACACTGGAACCATCAACCTAACGTTTACTGAATCAGTCAATGCCAGCACTCTGAATGTCTCGGGCATAACCATACAGTCTGATGAAAATAACTCTGAATACTGGTATACTCTAAACGGTGGCTATGGCTCAGACCTTAATGAACCTGAGATTGTGCTCAACCTCACTATCTACGATCTGAATGCTATCAAGGCCATTCGTGGTCTAGGAACAAGCACATCTGACACATTTATTGCCGTAACATCTGATGCTGTATTGGATATGGTAGGCTTCAATCTGACTGCAATACCAGAGAACGATGCTCTCCAGGTAGCCTATGTCGTTCCTGACATGACACCACCAACTCTGGAGTCGTTTAGACTGAATCTGACAACAAATGAACTCCTTCTTACCTTTGACGAAACCATCTCCGTAAATGACACTGACGTCACGCAGTTCACTCTGCAATCATCATCAGACAGTTCATTTGTGTCCCTTACCACACACTCTAATGTTTCAGACACCGATTCGACTGAAGTTGTGATAACTCTCGGGACGTTTGATCTCGATCGCATCAAGTTAGACACTACTCTGGCCGTGAGCACCGACACGACTCAGTTGGTCCTGGGAGAGGGAGCTGTGCAGGATATGGCTGGGCAACCCAACGAAGAACAGATTGAGAACTCTACCGACACATTCCCTGACCTGGTTTCACCAACTCTCCTGACATTCATGTTTGATCTGGACGCTGGACGGGTCATCTTGAACTTTGACGAAGCTGTTAACACCAGTAGCGTTAATATTGACGGGCTGTCTTTCATGAATGCTGTAAACGGCTCGGTGATATTTACCCTCTCTGACATTACTGTCGTCTCTCCTAATGGACAGAGAGTCGAGTTGGTTTTGGAAGCAGAAGACCTGAATTACATCAAGCAAAACACAAGTCTACTGACAGCCATGAGAGACTCATACCTTGCACTGAGTGACATGTTCATTGTCGACATGAACGGAAACAGACTTGTTCCAGTTACCAACAGAATGGCCGATCAGTTCTTTTTGGATGAAACCCGCCCTGAGCTGATCTCGTTTGATCTGGATATGACTCTGGGTCACCTGATATTGATGTTCAATGAAACGGTCAATGCCAGCAGTTTTGATCCAACGGGAATAACACTACAGTCTGTGAGTAACTCTGAAATGCCTCAGACTCAATATCAGCTAACGGCTGGGACTCTGCTGTACGATATCGATGACACCGAGTTGATTCTAGTTGTCGATACCGATGACCTCAATGAAATAAAAACAAGGAATATAGCACGAGACAATGACACCACTTGGATGGCGTTGAATTCCACGACCGTCCAAGACATGAGCGGGACACCGGTGAGACCTCTGATAAATGGAGTGAACACAAAGAACGTGGCAAACTACACTGCAGACCAGAAGTCACCGCAGCTTGTCAACTTTACCCTCGACCTCACCAGAGAAATGCTGATATTGACATTTGATGAAACAGTGGATGCCTATTCTCTGAATGTAACACACATCGTGCTGCAGAACACATCTACAGAGCCACTGATGTCCCACCACACTCTCACTGAGGGCAGCAGACCCCTGCTGGAGAACCTACCCGTCATAGCCGTCAATCTAAGCCTCACCGATCTCAATGAACTGAAGAGGCTATTAGATCTTGGCACTGCACCCGAGAACACTTTCATCTCCTTCTCATCTGAAACCATCTCTGATCAAGCCGGCAACCCCGTGATTGCTCGACCAGAGAATGATGCCCTGAGTGCTGCATTTGTGATTGGAGACACCATTAGACCTTCCTTCCAAGATTTTGATTTCGATCTTGATCGTGGGGTTCTTACTCTGTCTTTCTCTGAGACTGTATCATCTGGTAGTGTAGTGTTTGAAGCATTCACCTTACACAGTGGACCATCTGGCAATGAAGAGTCGTACGAACTTACCGGTGGCGCAGTTATCTCTGCTGACGGCCCTGTCATCCAACTTCAACTCTCAGACTATGACCTCAATGAAATAAAACACAATCCAGACCTTGCCTCGGGGAGTGATAACATGTCTGACAACACCTATCTAAGTCTAACATCTTCTGCTGTGAATGACACTGATGGCAACCCGGTGGATGACTCACTACTGCCAAGAGGAGCAGTCAACTTTACATCTGATACCACCCGACCAGAGCTGACTGGGTTCATACTAGACCTGGATGATGGAGTCGTTACCCTCAATTTCTCTGAGGCAGTAAATGGAGTCACACTAGTCACCACTGGGATCACTCTCAGGAGTACCAACTCCTCCAATGCCACCTACTACTCCCTGACCGGAGGATACTTCCAGCGATCGGAGCAAGACTTCCTCGAAGTAGCCGTCACGGATTTCGATCTGGATAACATCAAGGCTCTGCTAGACCTCGGAACTACCGAAAACAACACCTATCTGGACCTTGCCGATGCCTCCGTCGAGGACACCAGTGGGAATCCAGTGGTAAACGTGTCTTCTGAGGCTGCTCTGGAAGCTACAAATGTCATTCCAGACGAAACACGCCCGGCTCTTATCACTTTCCACCTGGATATGAACTCTGGCAATCTGACATTGTCTTTCTCTGAGACTGTTTCTCCCGAATCAGTTCAGTATACTGCGTACACTCTGCAAGCACAGCAGTCGTTGACCCTCAACATGGACAATGCCGGTCTATTCTACACACTCACCAATGGCAGTGTTTCGATCATCACCAACACAGAGCTAGTGATAACTCTCGTGAATTCCGATCTGAATCAAATAAAGCGCAGACCCATGTTGGCGACGGAAGAAGAAAACACGTACATGTCGTTCACCGAGGCTGCTGTCAAAGATACAAGTGGCAATGCCATCTCTCCAAATGCCAGTAGTAGCGCAGTCATTGCAGGGAACTACACTGAAGACACCACACCTCCAGAACTTCTGTCGTTCAACCTCGACCTGAACATTGGTCAACTCATCCTGCGTTTCAGTGAAACAGTAAATACAACCACCCTGACCGTACCTTCCCTCCAAATCAGTGACGTCTGTCCAAACACAGACTTTTACACTCTGGTTAATGTCACTGCCAACTACACTCTAACTGAAACCTCGTACTTCAACCGCAACGGAAATGGACTCTGATTATCGGAAACGGACCCATGAACTTTATAGCATATATAGCTACATGCATACACTGTAACATATTATACATTTAGTTCATAAACTGACGAGCCCTTTGATATGTATGAACTGACTTGTGTACAGAGATATAGGCTCTTAGATATTCATGCTTGTAGATGTATGCCAGATCTACCTTTACAATTAAACATCAGTCACATTTACTATAGTTTGATATCTCTCTCTTAAAGCCTCACAATTAATGGGACTCTAAGAGAGGGGGGCATGAAGGGAAGGGGGGAAAGTACGCTGACTACTAGAGAGTGGAGATCCAGAGTGGTCCTCCATGCTCCGGTACAGTCTCTCGTCGTGTCGATGTCCTTTGGCTTTCAGGGCTCAATTTTTACTAGACCCATTACATTCCTGCAGAGCCCATTACTTTCATTAAAGTCATGCCACATTTGGGACCCAACAATAGTAAAGGAAGACTAGCTGTGGATTCTGCCGCATCAGTTCCTTACATGCGTTCTCTTTCTCTTTTCTTAGGCTTACCCTACCTTACCCAGGAGCACATGCATGTGCACAGTTCATGGACCTGAGTAGCCAAGAAATTACGAACCTCTTATGAAAGATCACTGATCTAGCACCTAACCAGCCATGAACAAATGTGTCCAAGGCCTCCATACTAGGGATTCATCGTGTTATAAGGATATATAAATACCCATGGCGTCCAAAGGACTAGTACAAAATTGCCCGAAAATAAACTGGTGTTTTGAGATGAGTGATACCAAGAGGGAGTCGTTGATGTGAAAATGCGTGGAGATGCATTGTAACTAAGAGGGAGTGTGAGTAACTCGCTTATTATACACGTACTAGTTTAGGTGTGATACATTTTTCTACAGATCACATATACAAAACAAGTCAAATATTCCCTATTAAATTTTACACAATGTTACTATTGTATAGCACCATAATCCTTAATATTCTCCCCATCCTCAATAAAGCTTAGGTTCCGAGTTCTCTGCTTACTTTTGCAGACACAACAACAAACCACAATAATAAGTGTGATTTCAACTGGCACAAGAACAACTACTCCTCCAATGGTTGGTAAAGCAAGTGACTCCCTGCGGAACATGGGCTGAATTGACAAGTGTCCAAAATCACTGTGGAAAGTGAAAGACGTTACTTTGGCGAATATGTCATATTCTTGCGTTTTCGAAAATGAGCTACTCGGAAACGTGAACTTGCATTCCTTCTCGCTGGAATAGTCTGAACGATTGCAGGCCCTCTTTTCATCAGAGTTCATTAACCATTGATCACTTTCATTTACATACCTCATGTCGGCATTCATTTTAAACGAGATAGCCGTAACATTTGCACTGCTGCATTGAGAGTTAGTTCCCATACGGATATAGTAGAAACTGTCAAATGGAGCCGTGTAGGTATATGAATAACACTTAGTTTGGTTGGGACCAATAAGAAAGCGATGATAGTTCACAGTGTTATTATCGTTTTGGTCATAACTTGGGCGATTGCTGTAAAACGCCATATCCACCCATCCATCTTTGACTACATCTACTGAGCGAATGCAAATGTTGAATGACACGTTTGTTCCACTCAAAAAATATACGCCGCTCAGCTCCAATTCAATGCCGTTATTCGTATCGATAGCTTCACAGTTAAATGGCATCGAACGCTCCACTACTTTGTGAGATTGAACGATATATACGTCTAAATTTTTGTATTCATACATGTTCTTATCTGGCAGGTCTTGTTTAATGAAGAAACCATCATACCATTCGCTAGAAAAGGTTCCAAGATGTATTATAGGAGGTAGTAGATCCCGAGTAGAGCACTGGGTGTCTGGTTCATACAGATTTCCTGAGGTCTCAAACTGCTCCACCTCACTTTTGGAATGGATGTTGTTAATAATTGGTGTGGACACCGTGACGGCTATTGCAAATAGAGCGAGGGGTATGATGGGAATGAGACAACATGTGACCCTCGATACCGTGCACACTTCTGCACAAGGTCCACGATGATAAGTTTTAGTAATATCTGTGGTGAAAAGTAAATCTAATGGTGGAGCAATGTCACTGCATAAATATGGATGTTCTTACTTATTAGTGGCCTTGTTTCACTACTATAATAGTCCTCCTTAGTTTCTTCCCTTGTCTTCAATGTCTCTGTAAAAACATATAATTATGTGGGCTTATTTGTTACTCACTAGACACACAGCTTCCTGCTGTGTCAGCTCCCATGGGAGTAATCATACCTACCTATTGCAATTGGTGTGTATTGAATATGGTGGCTATCAAGCTGGTCTTGAAGTTCCTCAAAAATCGGAGAGGGGACTTGAGCGTTGTTGAGCGCTTCGATAAACCTGTCGGCGGTAGTCTCGCCGCTGCCGTGCGAGAGGCGACAAAACAAGTTGAAGAGATCCAATTGCTTCTCGCGGTACACACCGACAACTATCGACAACTGCTCCTTGAAGTCCCTCCGCATCCGCGGGCTCAAATTTACGTACGTAATCGCGAAGCACTCTGGTAACCGCGCCTCAGGAGGGATCGAAGGTTCTGCCGGCTTCGAGAGCCCACACTTTGCAAAATGGTCCAGGCAATCTTCAGCACCAAGGTCCTTGGCCCGCCGTAACTTCTCGGGATCGAGTGCAGCGGCGCTGACTTCCCCGGGATACACGGAGCGGGGCACAAGAAGGCTCAGTCGGTAAAAGAGAAGAGCCACAGCAGCACCGTCGTCGTTGTTGCTATATCTTTTGGAAAGCTTGTAAACTCTAAAAACATCGCTTGCTCCGTCCAGCTCGCGCTCCGGGATTCCGTCCTTGTAATAGAGGGTCTTTAGCAGTTGAAAACCGTCGTGCCTGCTCAGTTTGTCTCTTACGTCGACCACCCACTTCGGTGCCATCTTAGGAAGCTCTGTGCTGTGCGCGCAGAATCCCGCTGTCGCACTGCGCATGCGCAATGACATGCTGGGTTTTACTGTGGTTTCATGTTCGCAGTTACACAAGTGCTTGTTACTTTCTCTATTTCGTTTGCCAAAACGGTGACGACCCTGCAAGTAGAGAAAGAGCCGAAATAGTATACAGTAGACGCAAGAATTACCCCAACTTACTCTATGTATTCACTCTCTGTGCTACTTAGGGCATTCTCCAAAACCGCGTTGACGGTGTCGTAGACGCAGTCCAGCGGCAGAACGTCGAACGATCCCCCTTCCCGCACATACACCTTGGCAACTGTGGAGTTTCCGACGGGGTTAGTCGCGTTCTTATAGACAGGGGAATATTTCACAGTGTTCCCGCACGACCCTCGTTTAGTTTTGACGAAGTCCAGTTCGTCGATTACCAACGTCCACTCGTAGCAGTCACCTCCCCAATGTGTGCAGCTGCAGTACTGGAACATGCGTGCGGAGTTGATATATACCTGTAGCTAGATACCTAATTCTAGTAGTCCTTACCTCAAAAAGGTCTTGCAAGATATCATCGCCAATTTTCTCGTCTGGAAACACCGAATATGTCAAATCAAGGACAAAAACGTTTGGAGCGTGCCCATTTGATTTGCAAACACGGACGCCATGTTCTTCCGCCGGATTGTAGTCGGGCGGGTCTACAGGGATGTCGTCGTCGGAGAGGTGAATCGGCAAGTTGTGCTCGTCGTCCTTGCCAAGGTAAAGATACAGTGCCGAGGCAACAATGACTGCCAGCATGCACAGTTCAGTCTTACCAACTCCCATAGCTATACCATTGACCACCCAAACACTCCCTTCTGAGGGCGTGGCGTGAAAATGGAGCAGGCTTCGCTGAGCCGTAGAGCTACGTATACTATACACCATCATTGAAACTCTACTCATAATACAATAGTACATCGCCCACATTTGGGTGTTCTGCATTTGTAGATAGAAGTCTAGATAGCTAAATAAAGAGTGTCTTTATCAAGAAGGCAGGGATGAGTAGGCAGAGGATTGAGCGTGCAACATTCTCAAGAAGGGCGACATCAGAATCAACAGTGATAGTAGTAGTGAGTGCATAGGAACCAGCCTTTGGGTGGATGTATGCAATAATAAGTTGTGGATCAAAGTACCAGTATTGTTGTGGTATGGTGAAGGAACAAGTGTCGGTATCACGAATTGTGCACTTGTACTGTGCGTGCTTCAGTAGCTTCAGTTTGTCGTAGAAGTACATGGTGATATTGGCTGTGTATTTCACGTATGATTTTGTTGGGACAATGGTTGAGAAAAAGTTGTAAGAGCTTTTAGGTGATGAAAAGTAGGGGGTGGATGGGAACGAGGAGCAATAATTTGGAGAAATTACACCACCAACAGGAGACCCATAATACGGCAAAGGACCTTGAAAATCACAATGACACCTGTACACTCCATCAATAGCATCCGGTTCCAAATCAATGAAATTGGTGTAGACATCACGATTTTGGAACTGGCAGATTGAAGAGCCCAAGGTTTCGTTTCTCTCTAGTGATAGAGATTTTTTGACGTCTACAATGTACTCGGCCTTTGCCTCTCTTCCTGGTGTGTACTCCTTTGGCAGAAGGTAAATGTTGCGCCTTATATCCAAGTGTTGCTGACCTTGCATTACCTGCATAAAGTCTCCATCTACAAAAAAGTAATCGGTTGTGTAGTTGGAGTCGAACCGGTAGAGAAAACGGTGAGCTATGCTTTTAGGTGCCACGAAGAAAGATACCGTGTGATACGCGTCACCAAACGCGGGGCGTTGCGTTAGTTTCCATCGTGTCGTAAAAATGCTCGGCCACCACCACCATACGTACAAGTTACTGCTCGTATCGGCAGTCAGTATTCCGTCCCCTTCATATGCCGAAAGAACATTAGGCAGTGTAATGAGCGATGCGGTCTTATCCTTCACCACAGGAGCGAGTAGAGTGATGAGTGGTATAACGCAGAACAGTGCTGCTACTTGGGTGGCATTCATCTTTCTTCCACTTTTCCAGCGCGTATAATTAACCCTCGGCGCGCATGCGCAGCGAGGGTTACTGTGTGTATCTGTCTGCCTGTCTGTCTACGATTATTCTCGCACTACAGGCAACGAGGCGGCTTATGAGCTATGCTAACAGCTTTAGCGGTACAGGGGCTAGAAAAAGAACATGGCGATTATGCTGAAACGACTGCGTTCGAGAGCGACAAACTGGCACGGTCGCGGACAGCGTTGCGTGGCCCAACCCATCAATAAGCGGTGATGTTCTTGTTTTTCTTTTATCTTCGGTTGTTTTTGTTGGTTTTTTTTGCTTGTCTATTGTATCGTCTACTTTTTTGGCCCTTGTAAAACCTCATAAGCGGTGCGCATGCGTGTATTAGACGCGATCGACGCAGTAATATGCTGGCTCACCTCGACCTGATCCGCCTGCTCTGTGTACCTTGGAGGCACATGAAGCCACAGTGAAGGGTGTGTATCGACTCCCGCATGCTATCTACTACCGTAGCTAGCCCGTGTCAGACTCTCCAATAGCCCAGCCGCATGCACAGTTCGCCGAGGTAAGCATTTTGCGTGCATGCGTTGAGGCGCGCGCACATGTGCGCAGGCACTCGCGCGCGCTCGAGTGGCGGAGGGTGATTAGTACCAAATTCAAACGCATTTTTGCTGACACTTGCTTTTAAGCCGTATAATTCACAATTCACCCTTCAATCATTCCAGAAAGAAAAGCAAACTTCACCCATCAATCACCATTCAAGGGTAAACTTTATGTCCAATTACATTCCACCTTTGCAGCAAAGAAAATGATGAAATTCACCATTCTCATGAACAAGCATATTGCTAGTCTCATTCTGAGACTCCCATTCCCTACAACCATCTCTAAGCAACTCTGTTAAGGTAAGGAATGGTGTAGCCTCTCTCTGTGGCAAGTGGTGATCTCCCCACTCAGTATCTTAACTCGTGGTAAACGATCGCCAATGGTTTATGCACCATCTAATGACGGTAATAAGTATGCAAGACACAGAGATCAGCAACCGCTTCCAACAATTCCTGCTCCATGACACATATGACCTTTGACTTAAAAATATCTGGTTACACTTCATACATGCGCGGCGCCTCGGAGCGGGACTAGAAACGTGCATGTTCATGAGACTTGATGCCAAGGTTGAATGTAATATTGGATGTAAATGTTTTTTAGGGTAAAGTTTACCTTTTCTACTTGTGAAGGGTTATGTTTACCGTTGTAACTTTTGAAGGGTGAAGTTTACCCATGTAACAATAGACCATGTGATGCCAAGAGAAAAAAGGAAAAAAGATGAGGAGCTCTGGACAGCTGTTTCGGGCCTCATCAGCAAAGCATACCCCAACTTCTCTCTCTGGCATCAGTCTGTGTTCTTGCATCACACCAAGTGTAGATGGTAAGACGTTGCATCGCTTAGGTCTAACGGTCAAGACCACCTTGCTAGGCCGGGAACTAGCACAGTCTGCGCCTATAGTCGGCGCAGACTGTGCGCTGAGATCGCCTGTCACAATTTGTGCTCCTCTTGATAATCACTGCAGGTGTGACCATTTCATTCAATGGCGTGCCGATTCCAAATAACAACGCATGGAGGATGCGCACAGTCTGCGCCTATAGTCGGCGCAGACTGTGCGCTGAGATCGCCTGTCACAATTTGTACTCCTCTTGATAATCACTGAAGAATTGCGCAAAATTGCAAACTACGTCACGACCATCCCCCCTTCCCCCACAATGCACTGTGAGTGTGTGTGTGATCAAATCTTCAAGTCACAAATATGCAGTGCATAAATTTCCACCCACGCGTGTGTGAACCCTAATGCGTGCAGCCCCTCGCGCGCTTGCCGCTCTGCACCGCGAAAAGGGTGGGGCTGAGCATGTGCCAAAAAAGTAAGTGGAACAAGTGGAAAAATCATTTCTTCAAAATGAAGGGGGATGTAGGGATGGTGTAAAGGATACCAACAAGAAAGATGCTTCGGCTGAAAACAAAAATCATACATCCATCCCTACATCTTTCTTTAACCTCCACCTATGAGACAGGGTTCAGAGGTGAAGTCGCAGAGAGGGATGGGACAACCTCAACTGTGATTTGTTATGAATTAGTATACCCTACACCAAAACTGAGTGCCTACACATTGTTCGACAGAGCTGAAGAAAGAAAGATGTAGGGATGGATGTATGATTTTTGTTTTCAGCCGAAGCATCTTTCTTGTTGGTATCCTTTTTCATAATTTACACCATCCCTACATCCCCCTTAATTTTGAAGAAATGATTTTTCCACTTGTATTATATCTCTCATCCCAAATGGCAAAGTGTATTATACTTACAACAATATTGAGGGTATCAGAAATGTGTGTACCCTTGCCCTTTCAAAAACAATTATCCCGCCCCATAGCTACATCCAGCTCTGTCTCGATCGCGAGCTCAGCCATGGCTGCTCTTAAACAGGAAAGGCTCTGCAACACATACCACAAAACATACAATCCATGGCTGCAATCTGATTCTGATTAAGGTTGCCCCTGCAATTGTGAAGGTGAATTAACTGGTGATACACCACCTAACTTCAAGTTTCTTGGTCCAAATCTGAAGGTGCTTTGGAATTTAGCCACCAGAACGTAACGACAACTGTTAGGGTTACAATAATAACTCAATCATAAGCTTGAGTGGGCGTAATCACCTTCAGACTTCTGTGGATATAGCTACAATCATAATGTGCCTGTATTCCGTGTTATTATTTCATCAACCTATGACAAGTGACTCAATCCCATAAGCCAAGCGCATAGCTAGGCCTTGTCATATCCCCACGCGGTCCTATTGCCTGGTGTAATGCGGGATTGAACATGCACGGCCGCACTGCCGCACTGCACAGATGCGCGAAACTGTTCGCTCGCGTTGCATTGGCGCATGCAGGTGGATTTGTGGTCGCAGACGGAGATGTCATTGCGGTGATGAGCGATGCTTAATGTCGACGCATGCGCACTTGACGATCACGGCGCCTCATGACCTGCTATAATTATAGCTTTCCTGTGACATCATTGCATGCACACACAACAAAATAAGAACTCCATGCGCATGCTATTTACTGCAGAAACTGCTTTGCGGAATTTTAAAAGAAACCGTGGTGAGACTATCTTTTTTCATCCAACAAAATGGCCAGGTATTTTATTAAATGTGTGTATATAGCTACCCTTGCCCTTTTAAGATCATAGCTAACTACTGGTCAATATGCATTGTATTGTGTTGTGTTTGATTGGCTGCTGGCTTAATGCCTCAAGTTCTTCAGCACAGCTTTACTTTCTTTCTGTTATATATCAGAAACAAAACGACTAATGTTAGCATGGCATTATTAATTATATTTTTGCTCTGCAGTGTTTGCTGTATTCAACGTCCCCAATCACTGATTTTAACATTAATAATAACGATCATGGTTGGAGTAGAATTATTGCACTGCGCAAGAGCAATAACATTGGTCATTAGATACACAAGGCCTTCTATGTCATGTCATATGAACACTACTGCCACTGCTCGTGAAACACAAGATAAGGTAACAGACACTGCACACCTACTTACGGCAGCTATGTACGGGTTATGTTCTCTTCTAAGGATCTTGGAGTACATGCCCATCTTTATTCAACTGTTCCTGTGGTATAAAGATAAGAATTCTTCAGTTTCAGTGCCAGATGTGTTGGACACTGAGGATTTTTCGAAGCCTCCCCGTGTCTTGATCTTTATAATTCTTGTTTTCGCTGCCTGTCTAGGCTTGACTATCCCAGTTGTTGGAACAGCAGTCGAATTTCATAATGGGAAAAGGGAAGGGTGTGGTGTTACCACCTCGTTTTCTTTTTATATCTACTGCTTCTTCAACATCTTTCGCTATGCATGGGCTTATAACATTAGAGCTGCGATGGTAATTTCCACATTGACCATTAAAAAGATCTGGGAAGAAGTTCCAAAACATGATGGTGACATGACTGCCATTAGACTGCATGCTTCACTGACAGATCAATATGTGGAAGCAGGAGAGAGAGTTAAAAGGATAAATGAAGTGTTTCAGGCATGGTTTCTCTTTCCATGGGTTATATTTTTTATTGCCAGCTCGGTGGATGCAAAGAACACTGTAGCCATATGGGATGAAGACAAGGATAAAGTCGAAAATCTCCCAATGATATACCTACTCCTTTACAACATTAACCAAATTCTGCTACTTCTGATACCCTACATGTGCGGCCGGAAAATAAATCATTACAATCGCCTCTGCGTCATTAAAATTCAAGATATACAACTGAAGCGTACACGGAGTGATAGATTCAGAGCTCAACAGCGAAAAATGCTGATACAAAGAGAGGATATGTTTGATTTTGTTCCACGTGTTTGGGGGTTGGGTTTCAAAGTTAAAATGAACAGTTTAATATACATTGTCTTTCTTTTATTAGGAATATTTCTTACTATATTTAATGCACTGCTTTAGCAGTTGTTATCTTAAAAAAGTGTTGACTATAATGCTAAGTCATATAATAACGCTGTTTATGCAACAAGTTGCGTTATTTGTCAGCTAAAGCATCATCACATCGTCGTACTCATTTAACTCCATATGAGGCTATCGGGGAAGTTCCATACACTCACTGTTGTACCGTTTGAACATTCTTCTGGTGTCACAAGACTGCTGCAATAAACCATATGTTTGATTTTGTTCCACGTGTTTGGGGGTTGGGTTTCAAAGTTAAAATGAACAGTTTAATATACATTGTCTTTCTTTTATTAGGAATATTTCTTACTATATTTAATGCACTGCTTTAGCAGTTGTTATCTTAAAAAAGTGTTGACTATAATGCTAAGTCATATAATAACGGCTGTTTATGCAACAAGTTGCGTTATTTGTCAGCTAAGCATCATCACATCGTCATCTCATTTAACTCCATATGAGGCTATCGGGGAAGTTCCATGCACTCACTGCTGTATATACCGTTTGAACATTCTGTGCTGCTGTGGAGGTTTATGCTGAGCAGACACTGAGCTTGCTGGAAATTATGTGTGTATGCTCTCTTTGAACTCATTGCTACGTAGTAATGTCTGTAGAGTGAAGTTAACTCTATAAAATATGTAAGGCTCTCGGGGAAGTTTAATACACTCACAGTAGTACAGTTTGTTATTAAAGAACATTCTTCTGGTGTCACAAGACTGCTGCAATATCACTTTCATTTTCCTGGTTTGGGGTGTTTATGGTGGGACTTATAGCAGTTATGTGTGAAAACACAAACACTGTATAATTATACACTGCCTAAGATTATGTTAACATTCTGTGTATTATTAGTGCGTCTATAAAAAAAGTAATCATGTGTGGCTCTCAGGGGAACTTCAATACACTCATTTTCTCCAGGAAGTCTCAATATTAATCAGGTGTGGCTTCAGGGGAACTCCCGATTGTGCCTACAGACTGGGGAGCTCAAAACATAGCGGTGTGTGTCCATGTTTTGACCTCATCAAACGCTTGGGATCTCCTCACACTAGTACTATGCGTAGCGCACGATGGCATCTCACGTCAGTCACCACGAAATCCAGAAGGCCACTCGACTCAGAGCTGATCATTTTAGTTTGTGTTCAGCCACCCTTGTTTGTCCACTGACTTGAAGTAGTTCACAATGATAGTAGTGATCTGAAGGGAAAATCAGTGAGTTGCTTTGCTGTAGTAGATAGGTGGTGCGTGAAATGACACTTTACGGAGATACGTCTGCAGCAGTCTTGAGAGAGAGCAAGCCAGATCTGCGACTAGCATGATGAATACATGAGCACAAAGCTATACTGAAACTGAGTGTCTGTGGGTGTGCTCTCGAGACCTGTGTCACATGTATGCTACTGCCATTCTATAGCTTACGGTATGTAGTTGGACCATACCCACCAACAGGAGAGACTTAGAACCACGCTAATATCAGTACACACATACGGACTACTGATCTTCTGCTGTGCTTTCAGTGTACGTGTACATTTTTAAACGATCTGTGGCACAGCCACCTCACATCCCTTCATCATGGAACAAGCCCTAAATGTGCACTATTATCCTAAATATAACATATTTATACACTGAAAGTGACAGAGCTACACTAGATAGTGATCACCACACAACTGACACGACAGGCCAGCAACTAGAGTACAATACGACATGTAGTATAGAGATTGTTGAGGACTCAAAATAACAGAATTATTATTGTTGTTATGCAACTCGGTCAAAAAATTACTCAATCCGTAGGATACTGTGAAGATTAATTATATAGGGTTTTGTATGGACTAGGCTCTGTGGTATGCGTATTGATGATAGGCGTGTTACAGGATTTGGGTTTTTTCAGACACTGGACGCTCACACATCACATGGACTGCGAGCGGTCGTGTCCACTACCGAACGTCTATTTTTCTAATAGTATTTTTTTGCTGTTGTCGTTGCTGTTGGTACGCTGTCTGTGATAGAGTTGCTGAGCCTGATGCCGTGTAGGAGGAGGGCTCGACAAGACAGGCAGTCTGGAGTGTGTGATCGCGCACCTCTGATGTGGCCCAGGCACATAGGCCAGGACGAGACAGTTACATCAGTGCCGACTGATAGCTTATGTTAAACAACCGTGTCATACTTAACAACGACGTACTGTAAGGTAATAGTTTCTGACTTCGTTTATACAAATGTTACATGCCAGCGTCAAACTTCCATTTTTACACAAATGTACTGTTTAAGGTTATCAAAGCTTAACAATTAGTTGTCACTTCACGGGTAAGTGAAACACAAAAAAATCGACTATAAGACATGTGTAGCTATTCATTGCTGCTGATCTAAGATTATAATAGGGTAATGCTACAAACCAGTTATATTTAGTGGAAGGAGCGTAGTCCTTCTCGCTTGCAGACGTTAGTGAACAGTTGGAGCCGTGTGAGATGGAATGCGAGAAAGCCAGAAAATAGGCCGTCACGACCACTGACTATAACCCTCCCTAACAAAATCCAGAACATGTCGTCATAACAGTAAACCGCAGATGTATAATAACACAGTCAGTAGCCCACTCAACTAGGAACCTATCGACATACCGATGCGAACAAGAGACTTCAAAGGTATGGTAGGATAGGTGCTCCCATCGAAACCCCCCAGTACTCTGCCATCATAGTCTAGTGCCCAGTCATACCATACAGCTAATAGCAGCCAACTGCACACATTTGCATCGTTGTACTGCATTTGCATTCATGTCAGCTATGCGAGGAGGAGACTATGTATCATTACTGAAGCGTGCGAAGGAGTCTATTTCACCTAGGTACGTCGTAATGTTATGACAACTGTACAGAAGCTGGTATATGAGCGTGAGGGAGGGTATGATGTTGACCAAACGAGTATCATCTGACAGCTCCAGTGGCCCTGACCTGATTGCTGGAGCGTGGCGATGAAGAGTTGCCGTGCAGCCCCAGTGTCCGTGGGCATCTCAAGCATGACAGGTGATTGCGCGCCGGGGGAGGTAGGCCAGTTAGCGGTAGGTGTGAAGATGAGGACTGAGTGGAGCAGGGCAGGACGGACAGGAGGACGTAGTGACGGTTAATGACTGCACGAATCGGCATCCCACCAGGCGGCTCACTCAGAGCAAACATCAGTAGCTGGGATATATTAGCGAAAAAACTCATGAGTTCTCAGCAATGTTCGACAAAACACTACTCAGTTTTGTCAGTCGCTGCAAATTACACTAAGTGGTTGGACAGGCACTGCCGATGATGTCTATTTCGACAGTCTTTCTGTGCACGCCAGTTTTCCTAATAGAACTACAATAGTGGTGAAGGAATCCTCCACGCGTAAGTAGTGCTGATTATTGCTATACTCCATAAATTATGCGTAGTATGGGTATTGCGTAACCACATTGTCCATCGGCTGGATGCAAGCTAGTCTTCCAAAGTCCCTATGCCATCACATGTCTCTCCTTTCTCCTTGGACACCGTCTATCCGCAGCATGCCAGGAACACTAGAGAAGACTCCATTTCAGATAATTAAACGAAACTTCAAATATATGAGCTGTGAGTTAAGCAATCCTCAGAAAGCGCTTGACCATACAACGAACTAGCACACACCACCCAAAACAATTTATCTCCAATGTGATGCGTTATCAATGTTTGTGATGGTCGAATGTTTCCCTATTTATAATGAGAGTTTGGATGGAGTGATACATCTTTACCACCTACTCATCTACCATCGTTTGACTCATTTCCCACGCAAACATCACACCAGTATAATCACTATACTGAAATGAATTCATTCTCATCCGTTGCCATACATAGCGTATGCCATTACATGTAGGACTTGAGGAATCCACAGGTGGCCCATGTGCTTTGACTGCTGCTCAGCTTCATATATGATCCAGGTAATGCCTTGTGATTGAACGTGCGCCCCCCCGAAGAAATTTGTAGAATAGCGAAACGTGTCTGGTGGCATGTGTTGGACGATCTCTCTTGCAGACGAGTCCAATGATGGCAGTGTCCGGCGCCTCAGCGGAAAGGCCTAAGTACACACACATGCCAACATCTACACACTACGCATTCAACACAGTAATCACTTCACCAGGGAGTTAACAGTACAGCTAGGAGAATAGCATAATATGCTGGCGACCGTTATCAAGTTAAGGGGATTTTTTAACCCAACAGTGCCAAAAAGTGCATGCCATATCTACTTGATGGACACTCACAATTCCCTAAGCGACACCTTATGGAGATTTGCAAGACGTGCCTACCATACGTACAACTAGAGCTTGAGTCCATCCGTAACTTCAGTGATGGATATACCAGCCGGATCGGGTTGCTCCAGTCAGTACAAATCGCCACGCGACAGACCGACGCGAGATTTAAGATCTGACGGCATTGAGGCTCTCGAAGATCGTGTCAAAGAATTAGAACTGCCATTATTGCATGCCAGGACATCCA